AATATATATATATATATATATATATATATATATATATATAGGTTTTAACTAGCCTATGTGCTTTATTCTTATCATTTGTAACTCCAGTGGGATTGGCTAGCCTTCCAGTTCACTTTCTGAACCCGCCCTTTCAAGCAACTATTTTGTATAATCAGCTAATCTATTTTCTTTGATCAGAAACACTCAATAGAAGTATTAAGACATCCGTGGGAGGATTTTAAAGATTTTGATTTGCAGCGTTATYGCAAGTAAGTGTTGGGTTATACTCATCCCACATCTTAGAAAATATAGCCAATCAGAAAACAGTAATGATTCGACTTTCTTCATTTGTATTGGTTTACGAAGGCTGGAGACACGGTGTCTCTGTTGCTCGACACGTTACAAAAGTAGAATCAAGATCTACTTGCAAAGTACGCATGCGCGTACAAGTTTCATCGTGTATACGTGAACACGACCTCATTGTATTGTTCCCGGTTAGGCCGTGGGGTTCTGGGATGTTTGATGCTTAAAAATAAATGTTGACGTAGTGGTAGTGCGATCGCCTCTCACCTCTCGCCTCTGGGGTCTGATTATCTTTTTTCCTGTGGATCGATTGAATATTTAATTCCGTCAATGTGATGTGTTTTCTTCTTCTGTATGTCTTGCAGACCGCMTCGAAGACCATCGGATCGAACAGGGTCGCCATCTTTATCACAACAAGACAAAAAACAGACCGAAGATTATTATTCACCAACCACAGGACGATGGGTGAAAAGGTTAGACCATATAGACCTATTCCGAAAATCGTTATCGCACCAAGAGCCTAACAAGCCAAGGCTCCAGAGAAGTCGGTACTTTTAATTACAATTCATTTATTCATGGTTCATGCAAGTGGCTATAGCTCTCCACTAATTATCATCTCAAGCAGCCTTGCTTGGAGCAATTTGTGAAGTCAATAAATGAAAATGCACCATGAATAAACTAATTACAGCTAAAAGTACAAGCGTTCACTGCGGTCTTGGCTCGTTGCTTGAGGCTTTTGGTGTTACAACGATTTCTCAAATAGGTGTATACATAGCCGTACATAGCTTAGATGGCTGTCCCCTAGCATCCGCACTCAATGAATAAATAGATTGGAAGCAAGTGAACCAATATCTATTTGACCTCGTTTTTCTTTCTTTCCTAAGGCACCCCGGCTCATCTCCATCAGAGCGTGGTCGTCGGTTATACACATCACTGGCCGTCGCAGAAGAAATCGATGCGGACAGATCCTTCTCGTCGTCCCCAAAACGTTCAATACCGCTTCCACAACCTACTCAAAGCAAGAAAAACAAGGCGACCAAGACGAAGAAGAAAGCCAAGACAAACAGGAATGTAACCTTTCGAAGGAAAAAGAAAGCTGTCAGTGATACTGAAGACGAGGACGACTCTGATTCATCGGAATCTAAACAGGAAAAACCTGCTAGACCTGTTACTCCAGATTTTGTTGATGTCGTGGAAAATAAAGGGTAGGAATTGTAACTTGAATTAATGCTTTTTTGTTTGTTTGTTTGTTGTTGTGTTTTTATTTTTCTTTCCATTTCGTTTTATTTTTCTTTTCTTTCCATTACCTGTTTTAATTGGTTTTCCCTTTCCTTTTCTCTTAATTATTTCATTTGTCATTCATCGTTTATCAATCATTTTTTGATCTTTCTTTCCCTTCCCTTTTTTTACTTTTTTTCTAATTGTTGTCCCTCCTTTTTTTCTCCTTTCATTCCCTTTCCTTCTTTCTTTTCGTTTCTGAGTCATTCTTTCGTCTTTCTTTCACTTTCCTTTATCTATTTGTTTTTCCGTTCTTTGCTTCCTCTCATATTACGATTTATCTATTTACCTTTCTCTCTTTTTCTTTCTTTTCCTTTCATTTGTGGATCGTTATTTCGTTCTTATCTTCTCTTTTCTTGCATCATTTATCTAGTGTTGATATCCCACAAAATACCACTACACTTAAGATCAACGATACTCATGAGAATACAAATCTTTGTTTAACCCGCATGAATTTATTCTCAAGCGCTTTAACTCAAGGCTACGCGTTTTGCAAACTATTGTTCAAACCAACATGGCTGTCGCATAAAGAAGGCCCATTCATCTTGTTTTCTTATACCCCGCACAGAACCATGGCTTCCTTCAAGCAGTATGTACAAAACATGGAAGGACGGCAAGCATTCAATCAACTAGTTATGTATTTAGAAATTGAACAGTATCTTGGTATTCTACCGTCCAAGAAGAGCCAAAAATCTCAACAAGCAACGAACATTTATAAGTGAGTGCATTGGAATGTTTGTGAGTTGAGATTTCATTTTTGCAATCCTTGTTGCTGTTGCTGTTGCTGTTGCTGTTGCTGTTGCTGTTGCTGTTGCTGTTG